TAAACACTACTAAAAAGTTTTGGGGTTTTTTAAAATCATTTGTTTTACATACTTTATGTTTTAGAATATTTATTTTTTAAAATCCATTATTTCTACAAAAGCAACTTAATCTTAGAGATTTACATTATACTGCAAATATTCTACCCTAACAGGCCTGAATGACAAAGAAAATACTTAAGTAATGTTATATCCTTGAATATTATACAAACTTGACCTAGAATAAAAAACAACCCACATGGACTGCAAAAAGTAAGGTAAATTTAAGAAAATAAAAATGCAAATATGCATTTTAGCAGTCTCTTGAATTTATTAACCTAAAAGGTTTAATTTCCATTTTCCTGCATCAGCTTTATTTATAAAATGTCGTGCCCTATAAATACGCTGTTATTTTCTATAGTCAAGCACCCTCTTAACAAATCTTCTCATTAATATGTAAATTTAAAGTCAATCGGTCTTCTCCCTGACAGCCCCATGAATTCCTAGTGCACTGTATAATCGGCTTTGACTTGGCATCCACTATTTATCATCAAAGATGTCAGTTAGAAAAATTATGGAAAATGCACTGCAATTGATATGACTGCAATCTACTTTGTCAACACTTAATTGTTCCTCAAATCATACATTTACATATAAACAGCCTAAATACTGATCTATAATGATGCAAATAAACTAAATTAAAAATCTCTTCTGCTCCTGAAGCTTGTTTGTATATGATGTGCTCATTTGAGAATTTATTGACAATTCATGTACATCAGCTCATCTCAAAAAGTATTTCTACTAATTTTCGATTCCTCACAAAAAAATTTTACTGCTCTTCAAGCATATTAACACAAACAAATGTTTTTTAAAAATCAATGAGAAACATGATTTTTCTCTTCGAAAGCAAATTTAATTAACGTTGTTAGCTAATTGTAATGTCTGAACACTATAAACCGGGGGCTTCCAATAAACAAACACACAAAAACTTATTAAGTTAACCAAATATATATTTTAATTTAGTCAGGAGGTAATAGAATATAAAGTAAAGAATGCTCCCCTGCACATCAAATAACTATATTTCTGGCTTCACCTTTTATAAATGATATTATTTTAGGTGAGTTGTTAAAATCTGTGTGCCTCAGTTTCTTCACCTATAAAATGGTTATAGTAATTTCAACTACCTTAGCTCAAATAAAATACAGTACAGAAAAAAGATAACTTATTAAGTATAAAGTATCACAGTACTATTTTTCACATTTCCTCTTAGTACTTGAGAAAAAAACTGCTTGATTTCAATGAATTTAGTATTAAAAGCAGCTTTTTTATTTTAAATAACTTTTAAGTCAATATTTCAGTTTAGTGGCACTGTTTTCCCATTAGCATATTGTTTTACTTCCAGGTAAAACGGCCCTTAATTTATGGTAAAATGGTGCTCATACAGCATTTATATAAGTGATTTCTGCCTGTGTGTAAAGGGAATGGGGTGCTAGAATGAAGACATTTCTACCCAGCTGACGCCATGAAACAGCACATTCAAGCATTGGTAGAAGGATAAAAAAGGATGATAACCACTCAGCACTGGCTCTGCTAGAATACTGTTCCACCTTGCTTTCTATTCTATAATAATCTTAACTGTTCCTTACTACACGGTATGCTTTTTTACATCATCAGATATGGAACAGAATGCAGATACATGCCGGGTCTTCAAAAAGTTCATGGAAATATTTGTATTAACTTTTAATTCTATTTTTCCACAAACTATTTGAAGTACCTTGTAAATGCCAAATACTTCTCTGTTTCTTCCAGCTATAGTCAAACTCTGTGATTGAGTTTGTCAACTTCTAAAGCTAAAACCACCATGTGTACTCCTAAAAAGCTGGAAGGAACATCTAGGCCAGAAGGCCTCTTGACTACAAATGGCTGGACTGCTCACTCCAAAGTTTCCCAGTAAAACAAAATTATCATCAGCATAGACAAAGGTTGAGATGGATTAACTGACTGATCGAGAGCACGGACACAGTCCAGATGTTGATAATCCATTTGCACCTTATTTTCATAAAATGTATGTATACCAAGTTTAACATTTTTTTATACTCCCTAATTCTAATACTATAATAAGGGCTGACCTTTCCAAATCTTTCACGCTGGTTCTTAACAGAACACATACGTACACATATAGACACCAGCCTGTTACCTTGATTATTCTTGGCTAAACAAGACTCTCAAATAGAACTTAAATTATCAAAGAATACTTTTTCCATGGACTGAGGTCAACTGATACCATCTTAAATTAATAAATAAAGTAAAATGTTTTATCCAAAGTAAAATTTCTACAACCAGAATAACCAAATTAAATGATTGCCAATAATTGCCTCGAAGGGATCAATCAAGAGGTTATGAGAAGGCAACTTATTTTTTATTTCACCATGTTCTTGGATTGCTCCTATATAATTTTTTAAAAAATAGAATATGATTAAGAGTTAGCTAAACTCTTAAATTAAATGATTGCCAATAATTGCCTCGAAGGGATCAATCAAGAGGTTATGAGAAGGCAACTTATTTTTTATTTCACCATGTGCTTGGATTGCTCCTATATAATTTTTTAAAAAATAGAATATGATTAAGAGTTAGCTAAACTCTTTTAAGTGGTTTTCTTTCTTTCTTTTTCTTTAAGCCAAGGAATCTTTCTCAAAGGAAAGTTTATGCAAAGCTGCATAAGAAAGGCAGGCAAAGGAAAACTGGTCTGTTTCAATGGCAAGAGCCTAGAGCGCTGCACAGTCTAGAGCAACACTGCACCCCTTGGTTGTTCCTGTGGCAGTGCTACCGCATCCTGAGAGCTGAGGTGCACATTTGAAAACCACTAAATTAGTGGTTAATAACCACAGCATTTAGAATAATGCCCAAGTAAGATTGTAAATAAGTGGCAAAGAAAAGAATTGATTTAGTCCAACTCCAGTGTGCCAGGGAAAATGATCAGACTGCATCTCATGATTGTAATAATTAATACTCATTTAGTTAACATGTGAAAACACAAAGACTGAATGTAGTTGCAATTTTTCAAACTAACTGTCAAAAGAATAAACATACACAGTAGTACAAAATTTAATTTTCTTGCTTTTGCATACTGCTTTGAAAATGAATTTTATATAAAATAAGGTAAAATTCAAAGAACAGAAAAACAATTAAACTACAAAAACAGGCTTTAAAATCCATTACATAATTTTAGGAGATATGATAAATAAAGTATATGCATACATTTTAACTCTGGTTTCGATATAATAACAAAGCAAAGGGTCATTTGCATACATCTAATGAAAACGATCTGATAGTGATAGAAAAGTATAATAAAAATTTTTAAATGGTGACAGTGGTAGATAAGCCAAAATTATCTATAACCTCAAATAACGGGGAAAAAAAAAAATCTCAGTAGCATTTTGAAAGGAATTGGCTGAAATAAACAAATAAGCTGTTAGCAACAAAAATCTCTCAAAGGCCAAAACAAATAAGCTGTTAGCAACAAAAATCTCTACAATCAAAAGGCCAAGACATTCAAGACATTTTCATCATGCACATGATGCTTAATCTAGCAAAAGTGCCATCGAAACTGTACTTTGCTCAATGATAAATAAAATTATAAAAGTACATGAGGATAGTGAAATCAATATAATAGCCCTACATGGCATAATACTTTTATATATAAATAATTCAAAATATACTTCAATTTTTAAGTAGAATAACATAATGACTTTGTTAATATTAAAACTGAGATGGAATCATTATTACAGTCTTCTGGATAAAAATACTAAAAAATTTTTAAATAGTTTTTAATGTTAACCAATGCTAACACAATGTAAAAAGACACTGATAAACATTTTATAATTATGTGTAAGCTTGACATGTCATCTAAAGCATGTATTATGAACATTTTTCCGTTTTATTTAAATTTTCTCACTTTAATATTATTTCCAATTAACAAAAGCGAGATGTACACTCAGTACTCAAGACCTATTCATAGTTTTGTGTACACACTACTTTGACACACTTGTGTGTTTTTTATCTTTTATTTTCTACACTACTGATTTTAAAATATTATAGATTTTAAAATCTATAATACAGCATTTTAAAAAGATAAGACATATTAAGGCTGGCTGGTTGGCTCAATTGGTTAGAGTGCAGTACTGTAACACCACTGTCAAGAGTTCAGATCCCCACACCAGCCAGCTGCCCCCTTACCCCCCAAAAATATAAGACATATCAAAATATTAGAATGAATGTGCTAGTCTTATAATACTTAAGGATTTCTTAAACAAATTTCAAATTTACATTTCCATTTTAAATACATACACACTGAGTAATCTCTCTTAAACTATGTAATAAAATTAAAATTTACTAAATTTTCGATATGATGAAAAGAGTAAGGTATGCTTCTAATGTTAATCCGCACCAAAAAAATAACTTCACTTTAAGGTATATTTAATTATTAATTTTACTAAACTCCTACCAGCTTAAGTGAAGAAAAGGAAAATATAAACATAGTTTAGAAATATAAAACAAGGAAAAAGTAGTTTAAAAGTTCAATAATATTTATCTATAAAGGCAATAAATTGTCTTAGATGTAAATTCACATTATAGAACCACATCACCTACTTTTACAAATGAGTACCTGGAACAGCTGGAGCTCAAAGGTGTGTGAGTATCTAGTAAAAAAAAATATCCATGGTTTGGCAATGTCTTGTAAACACACTATCATGTTGCTGCTCCTAACAAGGACCTCTTGCCAAGTATCATACTAAAAGTTGATATACTATGCCACTAAATATGTATCAATCAGCACCAAAACAATGGACATTACTGCTGCATTTATTATTGGTTTCCTGCTTTTCTAAAAGAACATGAGAAAAACAAGTCCTCCTTATATATGCAGATTTTTATATTTTTCTACTCAATGTTTTGTATACATTTTTAAAAGCTCATCTATTCTGTCAGTATACTTTATAAGTGGAAGACTGTTTAACACTTACCTCTTTCCAAGGACTGACAAACTGTGTACGAGCATATCGAGTTAGCATGTGGATGATGACAACCTGCCCCCACTCTTCTACATCAACAAGTAAGTTACATAGCTTGCGATAATTCTTGTGAATCAGATCTATTCTATCTGGGCATACTTCTTCGAAAGCCATCACAACACTGCCAGCTACCAACTAGAAAAGAAAGAAATAGTAACTCATTAAAAACATTTCCCCCCATCAAAGATCCTACTGAGGCACTATAGTAGTGTACCCAGTGTTACAACAATCAACATTTAAAGTACTCAGTCTTTTAATTAAAATGAATGTTCATGTGTGAGTAACAAATTTTAAAGTATAATTTAAAGAATAATTTTAATAATTGCAATATGTCTGGAAAACTAATTCTTTTCTGAAGAGAAGTAAGGAAAGAAATAGTAACTCATTAAAAACATTTCCCCCCATCAAAGATCCTACTGAGGCACTAAAGTAGTGTACCCAGTGTTACAACAATCAACATTTAAAGTACTCAGTCTTTCAATTAAAATGAATGTTCATGTGTGAGTAACAAATTTTAAAGTACCACGCCCTCAAAGAATAATTTTAATAATTGCAATATGTCTGGAAAACTAATTCTTTTCTGAAGAGAAGTAAATTCTGATAATTTTATTTCATCAGTTAAATTTCAATAAACTATTCATACATGGATTAAACATTAATCACGCACATCTTTCATTTTTAAAGCTAAACTAAATTCTAATTTAAAGATTCATTACTTTATTCATAACAATATTCAGAAGAACAATCAAGACAATAACAAGGATCACACTGTGTCAGTTTAAAATGAGAATGACAATAATGCCCCAATGAATTTATGTTAAAAAGTATAAGAACAGCTCATAAATGTTTTTGGTACAAAAACACTTTCAAATCTAAGACATCTTAATCCACCTGTTTTTATCAATATAATTTATTTACAAAGAAAATACACTGGCTAAAATGTTAGTACATCATTATCACTTTTATAACAATATGTTGGAATAATGTATTACCAACAAAAGGGAGATTACTCCAACACCAATTAATAAATAATAAATGTTGGTTTTTTAACTGTCGTGCTTTTACAAAGTGGCAAAATTAAGATTCCTTCAGTATAAAAATACAAGCTAAGCAAAATATATAATATACAAATATTCCTACACATATAACACTGATATATGTGCAGTTAGCCAACAATATAATACAGTTTTGAAAAAACAAATTAATATCATATTCTTTCTGAACACTAGGGATCTTCGTTTTACTGTCTAAAATTTCCCCGATGACTTAAAATAAGCAATTAAATAAAAATATAACTTACTGAAATGGTACCTTTTGAAAAATATTAGATACAATGATATTCATGTTTTGAGTGTTTGTCCCTCTACTTGGCTAACATTTACTTTATTAATATGCAACTAACAATACAATTCAAAGAAAACAGCTCAGAATATAGACTTGCTATTATGCTAAACAAGTTTCAAGTCCTGTGGGGATTTTATGAATTACCAATCAGTATAAACGTGAAGGCGCATTTATTGACTCCAGCCCTACCCATGTACTGGTGCCTGCTGGTCCCAGCATGTATGCACCTCAGTCGAAAAAGCAAAGAATTGATTATTTGTGTGAACTAAATAAAAATGTACTATATATATATAATTTTCTATTTGCTATTGACATAGAAAGGAAGTTAAGTTCATGTTTTCAACTCCACATTTTGATGTCTTCTGCATAAACTACTCTTCAGAAGTTATATTTTGTGATAATCACATTTCTATAAGGCTGGAATTAGTATCACTAAAAAATCTCTTAAAACAATTAAGTTATGCCATTAAACGACAGAATAATAATATTAGTGAGACATAAACATCTGTAAATATTTTACATATATATCAATCTTATATTAATATGACATTAATGTCAGTATTAATTGGTAAAGGATGTTAAAGTACAAAAATTAAGAATACCACTTAGAATAAAATAGTCCTAATAAATAAAATGAAACTAAAAGGATAACTCAACAGTTTTAATTTTAAAAACACTAGGAAAAATCAAGTTATTTTGTTTAAACCTAGAGATTTTTTTTCCAAATTTGTTTAGACACCAAACAATTAAATGGAAAATCAGCCACCACAATATGAAATTTATTAAACCAACCGCTATAAGTACACAATAATTCTAAAGCACTGACACATTCTAAAGTACTAACAAATATCATAAAAAGGAAAAGGAAAGAAAATAATTAATTACTTAAATACAAATAAAGTTTAAGGAAACAAGATAATCAGAAAGATGTGAAGGGAGTACCTTTACAAAATAAAACTGACCGTTTTAGATACTTCAATGTATAGTTTTAACAAACTGACCCTGAGCTAAACACTGGCAGAATTGATAATTTTGGTCACGTAAATGTTCAATATTCTATAAAACATTCAGAATTAAAAGAAAATGATCTATTGAGATTTTAAAACCAAAATATTGGTTTCCAAAAAACAGACAGTTAATTTCCATCTCACTGTGTCAATAGTAGCTTTTCATATAAGGGGAAAAATAAATCACTCCAACAAAACTAGCAATGAGCTCATCAAATTCAAATGCAGTTTTCCATTTATGTATTTTTTATATTAAAGCAATAAACATGGTTCATTTATCTTCCCTTGGTTGCCACGTTTTTCTGTGCTGTTGCTATGAACTTCAGCCATTAGCTGTGCTCCAAGGTAAACTACATGAACCATCAACAAAAGTGACACCCCATCTATGGAGTTCATATTTTCTCCAGATTATCTATACTAGTTGACAAGCTGGTAATGAAAAAAATCACACTAAGCAAATGGTTCCTCTAATAACAATAAATTTTCTATAAAATTATGAAGGGTACAAAACGTTTCCTTGCATCTATTTTGTCATGAATTCTAATTAACGTTGCAAAAACCTGAGAGTGCTGGGTCATCACAAGAAGTGCATCAAGGTTTGATTGATAATATAGTATAAGTTGGCCAATGCTGCCAAGATTTTCTTCCCTTAAATTAATGGCCATCCAACCTGCCCTAATCATACAGCCCAAATGATATTCCCCTTCTTATTTCAATTTTCTTGAGGCATGGAAAATGGGAAAGATCAGTCATTTATCTTCTAATAGCTGGATAATAGATCTATCACAATAAAACATCTGCACAAACTCAGGAGTGTATTTTTTTTCCCCATAACAGTGAGGCTTTTACCAACATTAAATCAGTGACTTATAAAATGGTGATGGTGTCTTACCCCTACATTCTAGCTATAAACTACCAATCTATTCATTAAACATAATTTTGTGGCTAAAAAATTAAGGAGAAGTTTTATGTCATCAAAAAATATAAACAAACAGCTCAATTTTTCAGTAGGCACTAACTTGTTTTCCTAAGAAACTCTGTTTTCTATTAGAAAGCAAAGTGCTATCAAAAGGATTTCTTTAAAATTAACCTGAAAGAAAAAAGAAATAAATACCACCCTGCTTTTTAGGCATTCTAAATAAAAGAATGTCTACTTCTATGCTTTAATTGCTCAGCAAATATAGATTGCTACATATTGAAGGAAAAGAAATGTTATAAATTTTAAAAATGGAATTCATAAGTAAACATCAGGAAAGATATGTAATGAAGCTGAAAAGTGTTTAGGATATGTTAAATAGAGAAGACAGATGAAAATGGCATAAAATCTAAGAATATACAATAAAAAATTATATTAAAAATTATAGCAGTTGATTGGGGATGATAGAATATAGATAAAATCTTCCCTTTTAATTTCACTGAATACATTTGTAAGGTTTCTATAATATCTCTTCAAATATACAGATACCTTCAGACAACAGTTACCTACATAACACGAAAATGTTCCTACATTTATCTTATGATAACTGTATTCCTAAACCTAAAGTGATTTATTTTTAGGAAAAGACTCTCCCTATGACAAATATTGATCTTTACCTAGTAAAAAAAACTATTGTATCATATTTTAATATGCTTATAGTTCCACTCTTCCTTAAAATGAGAATTAAAGAACTCATTTCCTTTGAGATCTCACTTGTAAGAAAATCTTCCTTTAGCCTAAGAGAAGCAACAGAAGATATATCTCAAAATCAAGAGAGGTTAAAAGAAGAAACTTTTTTAATAGATTAACATCTTCAAATTTATACTTATGAGTAGTAACAGCAATGTTATCACAATGATGATTCCAGGAAGCTCATGCTTAAAGCAAATAAATTCCTTTTCAAAACATAGAAACAAATTAGTCCTGGTTCATTTATTTGGGAATTTTTTAGTATCACAATAATGATTCCAGGAAGCTCATGCTTAAAGCAAGTAAATTCCTTTTCAAAACATAGAAACAAATTAGTCCTGGTTCATTTATTTGGGAATTTTTTAAATAAAAATGATTTGTGACTATTGATGTTAAATGTCAATACTGACCTTATAAATTTGAGCGGGGGGGGGAAGAAATGTACCTGTCTCACTTCAATAAAGTATTATATGTGACAAAAATAAAGTAATAATTAAGGGGGGGGAGAAATGTACCTGTCTCACTTCAATAAAGTATTATATGTGACAAAAATAAAGTAATAATTAAGGTAAAATCCATAAATATCTGTGTAGATATCAGAATATTTTAACCTTTCTACAATGGCTTATAATCATGCAAAGGAAAAAATTATCAGAAAACATTCTCAAAACAAAATTGATTTAAATCCTAAGTAGACATGTATACCTCAAAACCAGAGAAAATGCCCAAACTTCAACTTAGATATAAGTAGAAAAGTAAGCCCTAAATCCAAGAGAGCTATTTTCATTCTTATATCACAAAACTTCACAAAGACCTGACAGTATAAAAAGAAACTGTCCAGAACAGAGCAGACAGGAGTTAGTGGTGGGCATAAGAGTAAACTAAAATCAACAACAGAAAGAGAAAGAACACACTAAGTATGAAAATACTAAAAGAGATTCCTGGTAGATCAGAGCAGACTACAGGGAAGTGACAAAGGAAGGTGAAGACAATTCAATGAGGCCACTTTGGAAAGGGAAAGTTTCATGGAAAAAGCAGGTTAAAAAAGAAGTTGGGAGAGAGGAGCCCCTTAAAAACCATGAGGTAACAGGAAAAAGTAAATAAGAGGGAAAAATTTAGGCTCCTACAAGATATATCTCAAAATAATGTTTGAATATATACCCCTTCCTATGCATGCCCTCCCCAAAAAAGCCATTTAGTAAAAAAAAAATACTTTAGGGGCCGGCCCGGTGGCACACTGGATAGTGCGCCGCTTGGGAAGCACGGCGGCGCTCCCGTCCGAGGGTTCGGATCCCACATACAGACCGGCTCCCGCTCACTGGCTGAGCGAGGCGCGGGAGCAACACCGAGGCTTGCGATCCCGTTGCCGGTCTCCGGTCCGGTACGGGGGCAACACTGAGGGTTGCGATCCGTTGCCGGACACGGAAAAAAGACAAAAGACAAAAAAAAAAAAAATACTTTGCTATTCTGACAGAGAGGGTGCGCTTACACTTGGAATCTTGCAAGCTACCTCAAAAATCAAACCACCAACCCTGTTCACAGAAATGCAAAGATGCAAGTAATCTACAAGCATTGAAACAGAAAATGTAAATCAAAACAATCCAATTGGTGAAAATTACCCACATAATAATCATTGATGAAGCAAAAGGAGACTGTAACACAACACTCCAAAATGAATTAAATACCCTCAAAAGAACCATTAGAAGATAGGAAAAATAAAGATGAATCAGAAATTCAAAAACAGAGAACAGAAATTAACAAAAGAAATCAAACAGGAGTTTAATAAAATCAGGAAAGAAATTGCAGGGGAAAAATAATCAGACATGAAGTCTAAATTGCAAGGTATCCTGGGAGAATGAAAATTTATTAGGGCCGTCAAAGGAATGTAAAAAAATAACCAAGAGAATGAAAATAAGATAAAGAAAGAAGTAAAAAGGTTTAGACAAACACTGATTGAAATGTAAGACAAGCAAAGAAGATCCAACTTACATAGAATTGGAATCACTGAAGAAGAAAAAAATAACAATTAAACAGAATTAATATTTAAAACTATCATCTTTTTAAAAATCACTTTTCCAGAAATAATAAAAGTTCTCAAGCTACATTTTGAAAGGGCTCACTAGGTACCAGGAAAACACTGACCCACATCAACTAACTCTGAAATACCTTGCAAACTATACTATTTCAATGATAAAAAGAAAATTCTCAGGACCAGCATCTTAAAGCAGGCATTTCCTTTAGATTAAAACAAGGCAAGGATGCCAACCATCTCCATTACCTTTGAAAGCCATAATGATATTAGCCAATATAATTAAACAAGAGAAATTAGAGCCCTAGGAATTGAAAAAGAGGAAGTAAAACTATCTCTGTTTGCAGATATGATTCATTCCGTAGAAACAAACAAGAATGAATGAATGAGAAAACTAACTTAAACAGCAAAAGAATTCAGTAAAGAAGCAGGATATAAAATTATCATTCAGCAAATCAATAGCTATCCTCTACACTAACAAAACAAGTTCAAGAATATAATGATAAAGCAATTTCGATTTACCATAATGTCAAAAAAATAAGAATAGAGATAAAAACAGTTCTAAACCAATATTTAACTCTAATTATAGTCCCCATCCTACTACTCCCCACAGAGGTAAGTGCTAGCAATTCTGAAACAACACTTTCTCTGCATCTGGGACTCAGCAAAAAAGTAAATATATTGTGAATAATGGGAGCCATGTTTCATAAAGTCAGAGAGGAAATTACAAATATGTAAAGGGAGGAGGCTAGAAGAAACTTTGTACTGTTACATTGGACTTAGAAATATCAGTATAAACTTGTTTTTTAATATAGATAGAAAAATACATACATGTGTTTAATTTTTTAAAAAAATAAACACAGGGGCCGGCCCAGTGGCGCACTGCTACAGTGCGCCATTTGGGAATGTGGTGGTGCTCCCGCCAAGGGTTCGGATCCCACATACAGACCGGTTCCCGCTCACTGGCTAGTGGCGCACTGCTACAGTGCGCCATTTGGGAACGTGGTGGTGTTCCCGCTGAGGGTTCGGATCCCACATACAGACCGGTTCCCGCTCACTGGCTGAGCGAGGTGTGGGAGCAACACCGAGGGTTGCGATCCCGTTGCCGGTCCCGGTCCGGTACGGGCGCGACACTGAGGGTTGCGATCCGTTGCCGGACACGATAAAAGACAAAAAAAGAAAAAATAAAATAAAATAAACACATACTATATATAACACTTTATAACTCATAATGGAGAGGCCATCAAATGTCTATTTATGAATACCAAGCATAATACCATGTGTCGGAAAAAAGGTTAAAAATAATACCAAACACCTAATTACTATCACCAAGAATATAACAAATTAATTCAACAGTAATTTAACAAATATCAAATACCTACTATGAACAAATATTCAATATTTTTTTCTTTCTACTGAATTTTAGAAATAAGTGGTTAGAAATCAAGGACATTCTAAATTTACACAGAAATTTATCCATCCTTATTCATTTATTTATCTCATTTATTTCTTATTTGTACACTATGTTATGGAGTAAGGCATTGTGCTGAGGGCTTAATTTTTGTAAATTAAAAATTTTAAACCCCACAAATTTGGGAATTAAAACTCATGAAGGCTCAGTACATGCTACTAAATGGCAAAAGCTTAGACATGAATCCAATTCTGTCTAATTCCAAAGACTGTGATTTTCACCTATGACATGCTATATCCTGTTTGGGAATACATGCACACAATATATATGGAAATTTTATTTAACAAATTTATTTTAGTCTATGATACAGCAGAAATGATGGTAAACTACACTGAAATAAAGGATCTGTTTTCTGTAGTTCTCATTATTTTCCACTGTACTTAACAAATACCTTGCGCTTAAAAGAAACTAAGTATTTTTAGAATACTAAAATCAAGTTAACCCCAATATCAATAATATTGATTTCATATCTGGGTCTGAGAAGCAGAGAGCATGCCTGTCATACAAGAAGACAAAAAGGAATCAAATTTCTTTTCTCTGTCTTCACTTATAGAATTAATCCATATTTGATTACCTCATACATGATGCCAACTATGCCTAGAAGGAATGCAATGAAGATTTCTGCTACACTACAAAACTAAAAGAAATTGCTAGATGGCCTAGGAATGAAACTTCAAGTATAATCTCCATATATAATACAATACTCTCAAAAACAAATAGTTAAAAAAATCATTAAAGAAATTAAACATGTTTATTAGAACATATTCTCTTAATGCAAAAAAAAAAAGCAGTAAAGAAGGAATGAGGAACAAAAAAGACATGAGACACAGAAAAATAAGTAAAACGGCAACTGAAAATCTAACTACATTAATAATAACATTAAGTATGAATTGATTAAATAGTCCAATCAAAAGGCCCATACTGTCAGACTGGATAAAAAGATAAGAACTAACTATATGCTGTCTATAGATAGAGACATACATTACATTCAAACTTCAAACAGACTGAAAGTAAACATATGGAATTTTAGAGATACATAATACAAACAGTAACCATAAGAAACCTGGAATGGGTGCACTTATATCAGGCAAAATAGACCTTAAAACAAAAAGTGTTACTGGAGATAAAGAGGGACATTTTATAAGGACAAAAGAAAGATGAAATAATTAAAAATATATATGCACCAAACATCAGAGCTCCTAAATACATGCAAACATTGACAGAATTAAAGAGAAACCTCAATACCATACTTTCAGTAACAGATAGAACCAGTAGACATAAGATCAACAAAGAAACAGAAGATTTGAACAATATAAAATGATAAGACCTAACAGACATTTATAAAACACTCTACCCAACAACAGCAGATTGTACATCTCAACTGTACACTGAACATTCTCCAGGATAGATCACATGCTAAGCCATAGAATAATAGCTACACAGGACTAGATATAGTGGCTACTAGAGTAGATAGTTTATAGCACATGCTTCCTGGCGATGGCATCCTAAGCTGAGCTGGAATCCTTTTTCTCAGTAGTTTTGAGCCATATAAAGTGGGTACAAAAGCCCCATTTAAGATACTAGTAAGCCAGAAACACCAGTGGTCTACTCATAGACTCCATGGGTCACCCCATTCCTAGATCTTGCTATCATGTCACTACACCCCAAAAATGGCGGGGGGGGGGGGG